GTTGCCACGTCACTGGCTGTCGGTGGCTGCCGGCCAGGACCCGCAGTGCTCGGCCGCCAAGTGGAGCCCGAAGAGTTGGAAGACGCCGTTGGAGCAGGGCGAGGAGAGGGGAGAGAACATGGGATAATCTTAATTAAGAATGGAAAACTAATGGCCTTCACTTCATGATCTTAATTGGGTAGGTGCTGATTCTTGCGTTTCTTTTTTTCAATTTTACGAAAACAAGAGTATAAAAGTGTTGATTTACAGTCCAGAAATGGCAATTTCTGGACTGCTACCTTTTTGCAAAACAGCTCCTGTGATCTGAAAGATTGCACGCGGCCTGGGAGCCCAGAAACACCCTTTTGGCTGGAAAACAATCGTGTACCCTCTGGTAAACGAACACTTTGCGAGGGAAAATCTACCATCTTTAAGAACGGTAAATCGATCAAGTAAATGGGTCATGGCTTCCATAGCTTTTTTTCTATGTTGACCAGAGGGTACCCATTCGATCCATTGATTTAGAATCTTCATTTTCCCTTTTTATATAATGGCCATTAAAAAAAAGGGCATCCTCATTCTCAGAAACGCTCAGATATCAAGTTGGTGAAATATACCCTCTGGTAAGCTAACACAACTATGGAAAATCACTATTTTTAATGGGAAAATCCACTATAAATCACCATTTTCAATAGCTATGTTAGTTTACCAGAGGGTATCCCATAACACATTGTCCATCATCCATTTTACCACCCATGAAAATGTTGCTTAAGTCCCCATTGTTCACGGCTTCAGAGATGTGGAAAATCACCAGTTGAATAGGTAAATGATGAAAACTCAATGGGCCATGGCTTCCATAGTTTTGTTACAAATGATAAGATGGTTACCTGGTTAGTTGGAGTATCCAACATGTTATTTCCATGAACCACTATTGATCCTTATTCACCCTAGTTTTCTATACATTTTCTATACATAAATCACTGGTTGGTGGTTTGGAACATTTTTTATTTTTCCATACATTGTGAATAATAATCCCAACTGGATATTCATATTTTTCAGAGGAGTTGGTATACCACCAACCAGTATACATTTTCTATACATTAATCATAGTTTTCTACACGTTTTTGTCCTGTAATCACCATGTTGGGACCTGGCGGAGGACATGTTGCTTGAACAGGGTGCTTTAGATGCGCGTGAACAGTTGGTGCGCGTGGCCGCAGCCACAGAAAGTGAGTGATGCCATGGCCACAACTTGCAGTGTTTCAATGGGATCCCATTTATGAGATTTATGTCCTGAGGTCCCTCCATAAGTTGATTTTTGACAAGGCAACTATGGCCTCCTTGTCCCGAAAGTAAGCCTTTGAAAAGATGCTGAACAGTGACTTAAAATCATACTTGATGATTTTAATGGATTTTACTCTTCTATCTTGGGGCTTCCTAGTGGTCGCTGTGGCTCATCCTTTCAGGTGAAGTCGAAGTCGCTGCCACCGGATCCCTTCAGGTGCGGGGATCTTTGCTGGTGATTTCAGATGCGATTGGAGCCGCCTAAGGGATCCAAAAGCACCCATTTATTGAAAATGGACTGGCAAACATAAGGATAAACCACAGGGATTTTGGGAGGGTAAACGACTTTTGTTCATGATCACATAGGCTGTATCCATAAATATGAAATTTGAGCCGCTTCAAGATGATGATAAGTTCCAGGGCTTATACTACCCAATATATCGAAGATTCTCATCATTCATGAGCTGGGAAATCGGAAATCCCCCATGAAAACCAACCATTCAATCCATTCAAAGGGATATGGATTTCCCAACAATATTATATGATATTTTATATGTCCATGGGATTTTCCAGGTAATCATGCCTGACTCTCATGGGAATATCAATATATTCTAAATATTCCTATGAAAAACAACCATTCCTTGGTGGAATTTCTTGGCGTCCGGAGGAGTCATATTGCTCTGAACATCAAGCAGCGCATGGCGGAGTGTGCCACCAACGACTCCAAGGAGGCGTCCCCTTGGGCCATGGGTTGATGCCATGGGTTGGTGCCATGGCTTGTCCGGAGAGATTCCCATCGGCCCCAGGGCTTGGCCATCAACCAACGGTGCTTGAACATCCGAAAGCAACTGGCAGGGGGACCCATCCGGCCATGGAAAAACAGCTGGTTTTGTTTTTTGTCTTCCCAAAAAAAGCCTCAAAAATTTGAACTCGAGCTCTCATTTTTCTCATTTTCTTCCCGAGTTCTAAGCTAAAGTTTTCCAAGTTTCGCTTGAGTTTTTCCCCACCCAAGCTTATCCCCAACCCCATCCTCCATGTGGAAGAATGGCGTGGCTTTCTGAGGCCGGGATGGTGAACGCCCGGAAGGAACTGGCCTCTCTGCGGGCCAAGGTGAGCATCCCCTTCCCGGTCTTGGCTTTCATGGCTTTCACCAACAAAAATACGGGGATAGTTTCCGGGATAGTATATTTATAATAATATCTGGTTGATGGTTTGGAACATTTCATATTCCGGGTCTCTCTGAAAATGGAGGAGACAGCACGAATGATGATTTTCATTGGTACAACCAGATTGCATCCTACAAGTATTTGCCCCACCGTGGTGCTGCGATCAGCTGGCAGTTACACAATCGCACCTACGAGGAAGCTGCGGTGTTAGTACACATTGAATATCAACCAATGTACATATATATATATATACTGTATATCGTATCGGCGAGTCAGTTCAACCCTATTCGATATCTTATGTATGTAATGTCATGTCATGTAATGTTATGTAATGTAATGTAATGTCATGTAATGTAATGTAATGTTATGTTATGTTTATGTAATGTCATGTCATGTCATGTTATGTTATGTTATGTAATGTCATGTCATGTAATGTAATGTTATGTTTATGTAATGTTATGTCATGTCATGTCATGTCAAATTGTCATGTCATGTTATGTTATGTTATGTAATGTAATGTCATGTCATGTAATGTAATGTAATGTCATGTAATGTCATGTCATGTTATGTAATGTAATGTCATGTCATGTAATGTAATGTTATGTTTATGTAATGTAATGTCATGTTATGTCATGTCATGTCATGTTATGTCATGTTATATATATATATATATATAGTACCATCAAGGTTTTGTAGTTGCTCCTACACATACCCATTCATTCTTTACCTTCAGCCGTGGGGCCAGCCTGTGAACGGGACAGGTGCACCTTCTGATGGAGGCTTGGAGGGCTTGGATGGCGAGCGGCTCGACCAATGGGCTGTTGATTCTCGAAGTATAGAAGTAATGAATAGTAATGACACTCATTCCCAAAAAGATAGCATAATATGGGTTTATATGGTTCAATAGGAACAATGATGTTTTTTTTAAACAGGATATTGATGGATGTACCCTGAGGGAAATCAAACGTGGCTGGAAAACTGGCTGGAAAATCATCGAACTATTTGGGTTTTCCATGGTCCCAGATATGTGACTAAACATCCCTTACTAAACCATGGTTTCTGGCTGGTGTTTAATATTTAAAGGGGGGGGACGGGATTATGATTGATTCTCAACATTTCTTAACCATCATTATTGAGCATTATTAACAATTTTTAACTACTATTGACCACAACAAGGGCCCCATGATTAACCACTGCTGAAAGGATCCGGTCATGGATCGCGCTTAAGCCCAAGAGTCTTGTGAATTATATATCATATATGATATCAATGATAGACCACAATAGATTTATATCATTACTATCTATATATGATTATGATGATGATGATGGTGGTGATGATGATGATGATGTTGATGTGATGATGACAGTGTACAATCATACCCCCATGACTAATTCATCTATCATTACGTGTGACAATGTCATTTTGACACAATAGACTCTGATATATCCTGGGAATGTTGCTAAATAATCAATTGTTGATTATATCTTGTTGTGTCATGAATTTCTCATTGTATCCAGTTATATTCTGATGAACTGGTTTATTTTATACCCCCCATTAGAAATATCCATACGGTGGTTCTATCAACAGTATATCACCATGAAATCAACTAAATTATTTTACACTGTTCATATCCCCACACATTTTTAAGCTAAAACAAAGGTCCCATCGTTAGTCACCAGCGTCCGTTATAGCGTTAAAACCCCCGTGGGACCGCAGGGGTTTGGATGGGCAGGAGCCGATTTTGCCGCGTCTGATCTTGGATGGCTTCACGGATCATTTACACGAGATGGTGCAAGAGAGCCGCATGGATGGCCGTTGAGCGGGGCGGCGTTTGGAGTCATGAAACGAGAGTCGGAATGCCTTGAAGATATACCCTCTGGTAATTTAACATAGCTATTGAACATGGCCATTTATAGTGGATTTTCCCATTGAAAATGGTGATTTTCCATAGTTATGTTAGTTTACCAGAGGGTAGTCTGACTTAGAATGACACTTTGCACCATCTGGGCTCATGCTTAAAGCATACCACCTGGGCAAAGGGCCGAAGACACCTGCCCTGTCACTGCTCCCTCTAGGGGTCAGTTGACAGCGCTTGGCACCTTCAAAAGGTGAGAAACACGGTGCTGCGCTGCTTCTTTGGGTGATGTCCGGGAATTCGCAATGGGGAAGCTGTGGCCCCGAAAAGCCTGTGGATGATGGTTGTTTCTTGGGAGCCAGTCCAAAGGTGGGTCTTGACACCTGCTCAGGCAGTGATGTTCCCATCAGATAAAGCACCTATTGAAGGGAATAGCTCCATTGTGATGGCTTATGTAGACCAATTGCAAATGGGATCAGAGCAACTTTGAACTAGGTTTCTATATCAGCGACATTGCGTGAGAACAATCACACCGACTATTTTTATAGACGACTCCTTCATGTTCGTCGTTGTTGTCGTAAGCCTCTACAAGGCTTAGATACCGCTTCAATGGAGTTATAAACCGCTAGTTTTTTTTTTTTGTGCCAGTGAACTTGGTGTATTCTTGGTCTCCACCCAGTGACAGCAGTCAGTCGCCCTCCCTTCGACTGGCCCCAGCTTTAGCTTCCTGCCACCCTCGGAACGGCCGGATCGATGGCCGTCATGGTGCGGGCGCTGGTAGCACTGGGGCTGTTGGAGCTGACGGCAGGCCGGCAATGCGCAGCCTGACCTGGGGTGGAACGTCGATTCTTTACACTCCTTCAATTTAACATGGAACCCATATTTATTGCCATATTCAATAGGAAAATGATCTTCCAACCCCCCCATGCATTGGGGTTCCACTTTCAAATTGGGGTGTGTGGGGTCACAACCGAATTTTTCTCGCTGGAATACAGCCTCCAAATTCAATATAGAACCCGAGAATTGGGCAAAAGGGAAGCTGATTTTAATGCTGGAACTGTTGAGTTCCATTTTAAATTTTTGGTGGGTCTATTGGGCCTCTCTAAAAATAGGGTAGCCTCAAATTTGATGGTTTCGAACCATCGTCCCCAGAACTCAAGAGCCATTTTTGGACACCATTTCCAGACCCAAATATGGTTGGGGGGTATATCCCCATATGGATGTGGGTCAAAATGGAAGACCTAGGGGACCACAGATGTTAGTCTAGTTTAGTATTAACCATCCATAATTTTGGGGTACCTAATTTTGACCCATACCCATATACCCATATTACATTCTCAACAAATTGGTTGATTTTATACCTCAATGATCCCAGAAATATTCGTGGTTCTATCACCATTGACTCCCCATGAAATCAACATAAATCAACTACATGATATATTGAGCTTATGTTTTTCCCAGTGTTCATCTCCCCACCATTTTCAACCCTAAGATCTCCCAGTTTTTTTCCTCTCCCCCTCCGAGCCAGGCGAAGATCCCTGCGTGAAGGTGAACACCTCCTACTATGACGACAGCAAACCCCCTGTGGCGTCTCGATTTTCTCAATGGGTGAAACTCTGGAAGTTGCTGTTTTTTTTTTTGGAAGGTGGGGGGAAAGATATGGAAAGATGCGATTCCGATATTTCTGTGGTAAAATTTCATCATTTATAGATTACTTTTCTGCATTTTAAAGTTACTACAGGGATAATCTATACTGGCAATGGAAGACTGCATTGGTAAGGTAAAGTATCAATACTTGATTGCTGCTGTTTGTTTTTTGGCAGTCTGGAGTCCACAGTGTGGTTTGGCAAGAGAAATCCGGACATCATTTGTGCTTTCCGCTGGTTGTTTGGGATGATTGATCCCACTTGACCAATATGAATCAGGGATGAATTCTCAAGACCCAGATGATGTAGTCGTTGAGGAGGTGCCCAAGTGTGCTTGGTGTTTGTTCCTGGGGAAATGCTCAGGTTTGGTTGAAGGGAAAAATGCACGAAACCTTTGAAACTTGGTTTCTTTGAGGTTAACCACCATCGTTTCCATGGTTTTGTATAGAATCTTTCCTGCAACCAATCTGTTCAAGAGATTAAAAATCATCACCAAATTAGCATGGATTTATATTGGTTTATTGGATGGTTATTGCTGATAAAGGATGGTCCAATAGCATAAACCATCACCAAAAAGATGTTCTTTTTTTGGGGGGGATGATCATAAGCTACGGCTCTACGGCTGACAGCCATTGGCTTCCCGGCCGTGCGAGGCCGTGAAATACATGGCCAATGCCATTGCCTGCCAAGCGGTGCTTGAGCCCAGCTGGGGCAGATCAATACCAACAAGATCCGTCAAGTCATAGAGATGGATTTCCCAGATTTCATGGGTTGAAGGGAACATCTACAGGTGCGACCTAAATGCAGGGCTTTCCGGTTGACATTTGGCCTGAGACCAATTTATTTGGAGGTTTGAATTATTCTGAATTCTTTGAGTTTTTGGTACAGTACCTTCCCAGACCGTCAACGAATTATCAAGGACCAGAGAAGTTGGCACGAAGGTGTCAGCTGATGCTTACCTCGCACATCAAAGGATTTGAGAATCCCCCAAATTCTGTGAACATTCTGGGATGAAGAAAAAAAAACGATACACAACTGTCACAACTGGATTGTTTGTTTATGCTTTTGGGGCTAGATGGATACCCAATGTCACCCAATGTCACCCACTCAAACAAAACTTTTGGGGCATCGAGAAACTTTCTTTTGGGTGAATCAGCTCACACTTCGATTCCTGTAGTGACCGCCAGGAGAAGGTTGTGACCGGCGAAAGCATGGATAAAAGAACTTCAACCATTTTTTCAGAACACCGACCACATTAATAGTTAGCTGGGTAAAAGAAGATAAACCAGAAAACTGGATCAGGGTGGGATTTCATTAAACATCATAAACACCACCAGATTCACCATTTCACCTGAAAAACGATATAAAACGCAGATTTACCACGCCTAAGGCTTGTGAGTCCAACGCACCCTGCGAGGCGGCGAGGATTCTGTGGTGTTTATATAAGCAACAAAAAATGGTGGTTTAAGGGGTAGATCATGGGACTTTTGATAGGGATATCTTGTGGTATGTTGAACTACAACTTTATGGTCCGAAATGGTTAGTATACCCATACTTTGGAGCCATTCAATGGGAAATTCATGATGAGCCAGGGGATTTCGGCGCATTTACGATTTTCAGACAAGTTGGAAATCTGAAGTATTATTATCATCATTATTATTATTGTGAAATCTAGAAGTTTTTTTCATGTTGAGTGAATTTTCATGATTTACATTACATCCATTTCTTTCCATTTTCATTTATTCCTTTTGAGGTCGGTGGTGATGTCCACCTTGATTTTGAATATCCCCATGAAGTACTTCGTGAATGGGTCAAAAAGCCCCTGTTATGGAATCTCCCCACTTATGGGAGGAAATAGAATATGGGTTACTTAATATAATATGGCTATGGATCAATACCTATTAATACCATTTTTAGGGGGATGAACATCCATTTACCAGCTATTTTGATGTTCACCAGGGGTACAAGGTTTTGACCTATATCCATATGGGTTACTTAATATAATATGGTTACACATTTATAACTACCCTCTGGTAATTTGTTACATAGCTTTTGGAGCCATGGACCATTGAGTTCGTTGATTTACCGAACCTCAAGATGGTGATTTTCCAGTTCGCAAACTGCTGGTTCACCAAAGGGTACATCCATTAATATTCCAGTATTATCCCATCATTATCCCATTATTATCCCTATTAAACATCCCTATGTTGGTTTACCACAGGCTAAATCCCAAAAAACACCCGATGTTGGTTTACCAGAGGATAATCCCCTTTTTAGGTAAACCTATGTTAGTTTATCCCCCATGGTTTTCCAATTTCTGACCGCTCGCCCTCCGGAGGCTTGGACCTTTTTGCGCGATGCAGGCAGCTGCTGGCAGCTACCAGCCAGTCAACAGGTGCCATGGGGGAACCATCTAATGATCATTTAATCATCATTTAATCTATCATAAACCATCATTATTTTCATGGATTTAAGAATAATGATTATAATGGATCGATGATGAATAGTGATTTATCATGGTTTATGATAGATTTGAGATGAATCAATGATAGATTCATGATAGATTGAGAGTGGATTTGATAGGTTTCGCTTTTTTGATTTCACCATGTTTTTTTTTTTAACCATGTAGCACCATATGATGGGTTTCTGACTGCGAACAATTGTGTTGTGGACGCTACAAACGTATAGCCAGTCACTGGAGGGTAGGGTAGGCAAAAAATGGCCCCTGATATCAGGTGTTGAATGCCACCAAGGTTCCCAAGTAGCCGCCAAGTAGCCCAAGTTTCTAAGTGGACCCCATATCATTTCAATCCCACGGGATGGCCGCAGATGATTTTGGTGGGCAACCCCAACGGCGAGAGCGGGTCCAAGCTCTGCAGGCCGGAAACCAACAGCATTTGCCATCGAAGGAAGTTTAGAAGTCAAACTTCCGACAATATGGACAGATGGAAAAACAGAGGTGGGAAGAGTCAGAGAAGAGAAGAGAAGAAGAAGAAAAGAAGAAGAAGAAAGAAGATCAGCGAAGAGAAAGAGTCAGAGGAAAGATGCAGGTGCGCAAAAAGGTAGAAAAGTCGCGACTTTTTCCAATGATTTGTGGCTCCGGAGGGTCGAAAAGTAGGCTCGCTAAAGTGGCGGGTGCGGAGCCACCTGGCCAGATGAGAGATTAAAAGTTGCACGCCATTGTGGCGCGAAGTACATGTCCAAGGCAAAATGTACAAAACACTTCAGTGTCGGACCGCTTTTGGAAGTTGACATGTCGAAAAAGTGCACGCCGTTGTGGCGCAAAGCGCGTTTCCAAGTCAAAAGTGCAAAAAACTGACGGGTACGGAGCGCTTTTGGACGTTCAGTGTCGTTTCGCGTGGCAGGCACAAGGGATTGTGCACCTTGTCAAAAATGAGCAAAACGTGAGGGTTTTGTAGCATTCCAAAACGATGGCAGGCGTGAGACATTTGAAGAGGATCTGCAAAGATGCATTTTCTGTGGCAGGCGCAGTACAAGAGACATGTTTATCAGAGATGTTAGGAGGTCCGGGCGCTGATTTCCTGAGAGGGTTTGCATTTTGGAGCATCAGATCTTCAGGTTTGCTGAGATGATTTTGCGTGACTGGTGCAGCACTTCGTATGACCCGGTATCACTTTTTCGTGGCAGGCACAGTACTCTAGCAAATCGCATTGGTACGAGGCCGTCAGCTCTGCACTCAACTTTCTATTTTTGAAGGACGTCTCGCCGAATTGCTTCGTTTTTGATGTTGTCAACTGAAAAAAAAGAGGAAGTCTCGCAGAATTACTTCGTTTTTGATGTTGTCAAGTGCAAAAATTGAGGAAGTCTCGCAGAATGGCTGCGTTTTTGATGTTGTCAAGTTCAAGAATTAAAGAAGTCTCGCAGACTAGCTTCATTTTCAAGCTTGCATATAGATAGATAGATAGATAGATAGATAGATAGATAGATAAACAGCTACAACTACCACTACCACCACACTACATCTACAACTACAACTGCAACTACAACTACATTACGCTACACTACGGCAATCACAGCACACTACATTACAACTGCAACTGCAACGACAACGACAACAACAACAACAACTACTTCTACGACAACAACAACAACTACTACGGCTACTGCTACTGCTACGGCTACTGCTACTACTACTGCTACTACTACTCCTATTGATACTACAGCTACTCCAGCTACTCCAGCTACTCCAGCTACTCCAGCTACTACAGCTACTACAGCTACTACAGCTACTACAGCTACTACAGCTACTACAGCTACTACAGCTACTACAGCTACTACAGCTACTACAGCTACTACAGCTACTACAGCTACTACAGCTACTACTACTACTACTACTTACTACTACTTACTACTACTTACTACTACTTACTACTACTTACTACTACTTACTACTACTTACTACTACTTACTACTACTTACTACTACTTACTACTACTTACTACTACTTTACTACTACTTACTACTACTTACTACTACTTACTACTACTTACTACTACTTACTACTTACTACTACTTCTACTAACTACTACTACTACTACTACTAACTACTACTACTAACTACTACTACTAATTACTACTGTGACTACTAATGACACTACTATGACTACATATTACTACTACTACTAGCTACTGCTGCTGCGACTGCTGCTACTACTAGACTCACTCCACTAACTACTACTACTACTGCTACTACGACTACTTACTACGACTTACTCACTGCTCGTACACATACTGTAGCTCACTTACTACTACTACCTACTACTACCTACTACTACCTACTACTACCTACTACTACCTACTACTACCTACTACTACCTACTACTACCTAATACTACCTACTACTACCTACTACTACCTACTACTACCTACTACTACCTACTACTACCTACTACTACCTACTACTACCTACTACTACTACTACCTACTACTACCTACTACTACCTACTACTACTACCTACTACGACCTACTACTACCTACTACTACCTACTACTACCTACTACTACCTACTACTACCTACTACTACCTACTACTACCTACTACTACCTACTACTACCTACTACTACCTACTACTACCTACTACTACCTACTACTACCTACTACTACCGACTACTACCGACTACTACCGACTACTACCTACTACTACCGACTACTACCTACTACTACCTACTACTACCTACTACTACCTACTACTACCTACTACTACCTACTACTACCTACTACTACCTACTACTACCTACTACTACCTACTACTACCTACTACTACCTACTACTACCTACTACTACTTACTACTCACTACTCACTACTCACTACTAACTACTAACTACTAACTACTAACTACTAACTACTAACTACTAACTACTAACTACTAAGTACTAAGTACTAAGTACTAAGTACTAAGTACTAAGTACTAAGTACTAAGTACTAAGTACTAAGTACTAAGTACTAAGTACTAACTACTAAGTACTAAGTACTAAGTACTAAGTACTAAGTACTAAGTACTAAGTACTAAGTACTAACTACTAACTACTACCTACTACCTACTACTAACTACTAACGACTAACGACTAACGACTAACGACTAACGACTAACGGCTAACCACTAACCACTAACCACTAACGACTAACGACTAACGACTAACGACTAACGACGAACTACCAACTACCAACTACGAACTGCGAACTGCGAACTGCGAACTGCGAACTCCTAACTCCTAACTCCTAACTCCTAACTCCTAACTCCTAACTGCTAACCGCAAACTGCAAACTGCAAACTGCAAACTGCAAACTGCAAACTGCTGACTGCTGACTGCTGACTGCTGACTGCTGACTGCTGACTGCTGACTACTGACTACTGACTACTGACTACTGACTACTGACTACTGACTACTGACTACTGACTACTGACTACTAACTACTAACTACTAACTACTAACTCCTAACTCCTAACTCCTAACTCCTAACTCCTAACTCCTAACTCCTAACTCCTAACTCCTAACTCCTAACTCCTAACTCCTAACTCCTAACTCCTAACTCCTAACTCCTAACTCCTAACTCCTAACTCCTAACTCCTAACTCCTACCTCCTACCTCCTACCTCCTACCTCCTGCCTCCTGCCTCCTGCCTCCTGCCTCCTGCCTCCTGCCTCCTGCCTCCTGCCTCCTGCCTCCTGCCTCCTACCTCCTACCTCCTACCTCCTACCTCCTACCTCCTACCTCCTACCTCCTACCTCCTACCTCCTACCTCCTACCTCCTACCTCCTACCTCCTACCTACTACCTACTACCTACTACCTACTACCTACTACCTACTACCTACTACCTACTACCTCCTACCTCCTACCTCCTACCTCCTACCTCCTACCTCCTACCTCCTACCTCCTACCTCCTACCTCCTACCTCCTACCTCCTACCTCCTACCTCCTACCTCCTACCTCCTACCTACTACCTACTACCTACTACTACTAACTAACTAACTAACTAACTAACTAACTAACTAACTAACTAACTAACTAACTAACTAACTAACTAACTAACTAACTAACTAACTA